GTCCATTATTCTGAATGAACAGTTCTAGTTCGATGATGGATCCAACCATCAATCATTTTGTTTGGTTGTTCTTTCACACGTATTAGCTTGATATATATCTAATGTATCTTTATTTACTGTAATAGCTATAATGAAGCAATTCAAGCAAATAAGATATCTATAATGAAACAATTGAGAGATCAAAACGGGAGAAACTTTATTTAATTCATTTTGATATTTATATCCGAATTTAACTATTTAAGAAACTTTATTTAGTTTCCACTATTTGAGAAAAAAATCCAATCACGAACTTGGGCTGGGCCTAAACGAAATTGGGCCCAAACGACATCACAGCCCAAACGATGTCGGTTGAGGTTCTTGTCGAAGGAGGGGAAAAAGCAGATCTGCCAGTTGTCATTATCAAAACAGGAACGAAAAAAAGAGAAACAACACAACTCATACGTCAATTATGTTCAAAAGATTCGATGAATTTGATGTTGCCGCCGCCATATGAACCAATTGAATTTGACCACCATGACTCCAATTTGCAGTTTTTTATACATTTTCTTTTCTTTTTTTTGACGATTCTTAACCTATCAAAATATTACCTATATTCTAAAATTAAATATTTTAAATATTACTACAAGGCTATAATTATATACACATTGCAGCTATATTCTACACATAATTTTATTCATCTCTGATTCTCATTTAATTATTTTCCTTACCCATCTCGAGATGGAAGCTTAAAGATTATTAGTTGAACCTGAACTCTCACAGCTTTGATTCTCTTAATTAGGACCAAATTTCATGTTAATAAATTAAAGGCACTTGGGTTTAGGGTTTTGATGGATGAATCCAATCCAATATCATCGTGTATTTATATTTTAGAGGTATACGTTGGTTTACCTTGAAGCCATCGAATTACATCAACTTTAAAAAATATATATATACTTTGGAGCTGAAGATGGTACGAATATTTAATGTAGGTTGATGAGGACAATTATCTCTACGCCTTTTGGATGAAATCAAAAGCAAAGTCGTGAGAGTCATGACCAAAACGGACGATATTAGAGTCATCGCCAAAAAAAAAACCTAGTTTGTATTCTCTCCAGTTCAACTAGGACCATAGGTCCTTAATTTCTACGCAAATCAAGATCGAGAAAAGGAAGTTTTCCAATCATTGACTCAAACCTATTGTGTGGGAGAAATTATTGGATATGAGACCGAACAAGAGTGATATTGATTGGTGAGCCTAATAGTCATTACGGAACATGTAGATGAATCTCCAAATTAGATAAAAAGTGCTTGAGGTGGCTAGCAAAGGCATGCTCCATGCTCGGGTGACGAGCAATACATGCCCTATCAAGTCAGGGTAAATTAATAGGAAGCCTATCATAATCAGGTAGAGTGATATGAAGCATGGTGTAGCTTTGTTCGAGAGGGAGGAGTTGAGGTGTGTGATAGAACGACCCTCTAGGTGTTCCCACAATGTGATTCGTGTAGTAAGTGTTATATCTAGACGTGATGAATAGAAAGCGAGCTCTCATTACCTGTCGAGAGTAGATATGAGTGCATGACTATTTGAGACGATACAAATGATACTTTGTTCGATGGGAAGATTGTTGAGTTTGTAAAATGAGTGCAAACAAAGTCTCACATTAGCTAGGGAATGAAGTGATCCGTGGTATGTAGATGAGAGCAATTATCTCTATTGGTACGAGGCATTTTGGTGAAACCAAAAGCAAAGTCGTGAGGGTTATGCTCTGAGGGTATCATTGTCCTTAACACCTTGTTCAACCAGTCGAGTCATCAATAATCTCATATAACCAACTCCAAGTTCAAGTTTTGCCCCAAGTTGTTATTTTCCAAAAAGCTGCATTAATTATTTCATGTCAAGTAATTTAGACTTTCGAAACTCTCTCAATCTTCCTGTACACAATTTAAACGCAAGCTACATAAATCCAAACTTATAAACCTAGGGAGGGACCCCGAAATGAATAGACATGAAAACGAAAACGAAAACGAGCAAGGTAGGGTTATTATAGTTTTAATGGAGAAAAAAAGAAGCATTGAATAGAAGAGAAAATTTGTGTTAGCTAGGGTTAGGTTTGACTTGAACAATAAATAGGGGTACGTAGAGGGGCATTTAAGTAATTGTGATGGAAATCGAAGAACAGTGAGGGAAAACGTTTGATTATATTGACTAAAACACTCTTAAAGCAAAGGGTGTCCTGCTCAGCCCCACCCACGGTACCATTGTCTCTTCTTCTACCAACATTTCGAATATTTTGTTATGGTGCGTCCAGATTCTTTCTTAGCTAGTTTTCTTATTTTAATTTAATTTTCTCCCTATATAATTTCATTTTATTATTTTTGTATTTCTTCATCATTTCCATTTCATATTTACAACCAACAAACTCACTCTCCAACTCCATCATTTATGGTACGTTTTTGAGACTATCTTCTCATAAAAGAGAGAAAAATAATTGTACCAATATGTTATGCTTTACAATGATATAGCATTGTGCACTTTTATTTCGAACCTCCGCTTGCATAGTTTGATTACTATAAAAGTTTTATAGTTAAGTGCAGGGTGGAGAAGGAGAGAGGAGGGGTAGAATTGCCCCATTTAAGTTTAATTTGTTAAAGAAAATAGATCAAACTCTCTCGAGTAAAACTAGTCTTGTCTATTTGATAGGTATTGATGATAGACGAAATCTGTCTAGTAGTATATTAGTAATATACGAGGACAAAAAGAGAATTATATACATCAAATATCTAAATATGGGGGCAAAAAATTGTTTTGTAAATATGATCACATGGAGGTGTGACTTGACATCCACTAAATTTTTCTATAAAATAGGCGGAGATTGATTTGGTAGTTTTTCTCTAATTTGCATCCACTAAAATTATTTTTAGAATTAGTATTATAATATATAAAGTTAGTAATTGTCTCCCCTTTCAAAAAAAAATATCTAATTTTGCTCTAATTCATATTACTGAAAGGGTTGTATTTACTGTACCGCTAAACTATCCCTGCACTAAAAAACTTAAGCCTATAGTTATACGTTCTAACTTGACTATCAATTTCAAGGAATTCAAACTCAAAACTGTGTACTTTTGATGTCACGTTTAAACCGCCAAGTAATCCCGAAAGTTAAGCTGGCGGCCGGTAAGGCTTTGTCGACCGGGTGGGCGTTTTAGAAGGATAAGAAAGGAGTTGGCTTGGGAAGAAGGCATAACACAACCACAAGCATTGCAAGGACGAAGAATTGGTTTGTTTGTAATGTGAAAAAAAAGTGTACATATTAAATATATATATATATATAGTCGTGGTTGAGGGTAGTGTTGGAAGAAGACGTACGTACGTGTGGGTTAGGAAAGGATTCACATCAGATTTATTAAGGGGCAGCCCAGCCCAGGAAAGGGCGATGAGGTAAATTAGGGTTAGGGTTTTGAGTTTAAATTTGGGAGAGGGACGTTTGACACTTGACAGAGCAAGGTTACCTGCTACCTTTACAAATGTTTCCTTCCCTCTCTCTCCATGGATGTGACTTGTCCCTAACTCATCACCATATCCTTATTATTTCCTTATATTTTATGTGTCGGGTTTAAGATTGTATCCCGAGAAAACAAACGTACCTTAGTTTTTTTTTGGATCAATGAGCCAACACATGATGGTTTAGAAAAAAAAATGAAGGTTTTTAAAAACTTGTTTTTGTCATTGAAATTTGGTTGAAAATTCAAATATATTTTCGAGATAGGTGAAAACTTACAAGTAAAACTGGATAAAAATAAGCCTAAATGCATAAAACTAAAATCGAAGTGGTTTTTCAAAGGCACCAAAAGTTTGTGCTTTTTTTTTATTATTTAGTCCTTTATTGTTTAAAAAGTTTAAATGTGGTGTTCTCTTATTATAGCTATTATAACACAATTTTCAATTATACATTTGCTAGGTCCCGTATATTTTCAATGTGGGATCTTTAATATGTCCCTCGAGATCGTTACTCTTGTTTGAGCTTGTTAAGCTTTGATACTGTTTATGCAAAGAATTGCACAACGTTGTTTACAAATTAAGCTCGAACCCAGTCCTCGGCTCAACCTGAACCTTGGAGTGAACCTGCACAAGAGGGCAATCTCTCCGACGATCAAGTCAGTATAGGTCGGACTCAATATTAAGCTCGAGATGAGATTCGATACCAGTGTGAAATGAGGCCCTCTATTTATAGGTGGTGGGTCCGACAGCACTTACGACCGGCGGTTATCTTTGTTTTTTTTGTCATGTCGAACATGTCGGGTTTGAGCAGATCGAGCCCCTTCAGGTCGAACCCCGACTTTTTACACAGCCTTGGACATGGACAAATTTGGTCTCCTCAGCAGGTTCGAGGTGGACCTGGAATATTCTTTTATTTTTAAGCACCACTGAGCGCCCTCCACGTGTCCCAAATATTTCTTCCCCCAAACAGATACCATGTTAATATTCATGAGATTCTATCTCAAAACTAATCGACAATAAGAAGAGCAACTCATGTCTAATATAAATTTTTGTTAGCCTAGCTCCTGTATATTATCTTCAATGTGGGATCCTTAACAAAATATACTCAGTGAGTTTGACATAAAACTAGAAGAGGAATTAGACCACTTAAGACAAGAAAACGCTAATTAACTTCTCATAAAATTTTTGTCTCTTCGACGACTTAATTTTTCTTGTAAATTTCGGCCACCTGGCAAAGCTAATAATAGTATGGTAAAACATGTTAATTGTAGCATGATGATTAATTATGAATGGGAAATCAAGGGGTGCATTGGGAGTTAGTGTGGAGTTGTGTGCATGTGATTAATGGTTGACTAATTGAAGGGAGGGAGGGGATCATGATTGGGGGCAAAACCATGTTACTGGCTCCCTCAAAAACCAACCACAAGTTGCTCAAAAGAAAATCACACATCACATTAAAAAATAGCCCCCTTCCAAGATCCAACGCCCCCTCTTTCTCCACGTGGCGTAATCCCACCACTGAGGAACTTGATAAGACATGCACATGCAGCCACGCTACACAAACTTCCACGCACTTAATATTATTGCCCCCCTCCCCTATATTATTTCTCTCCCAACATTGCCCAATTTCTTCACTCTTCAAATTTCAGCACACAAATTAAAAGGTGGCAAACGGAAGAACAACACACCAAGCTTTTACAAGTTATCTCCTCAGCCTTGCCGGAAAATGATCAACATGCTGGAAACTGATCTCTGCCTTGGGCTTCCCGGCGGCGGCGGCGGCACCGAGCCGGAGACTCCGAAAGCTAATGGCAAGAGAGGCTTCTCCGAGACCGTCGATCTGAAACTCAACATCCAGTCCAAGCCAGGAGTCGCCGTTGATCTCACCCCTCAGAATCTCAACAACACCACAAAAACTGACCATGACGACAATCTTAGCTCCAAGGATCCTGCAAAGCCACCTGCCAAGTAAGCCTGATTCAATTTCGATAGCTTACAATATATTTAATCTTTTTATTGACGAAAAAAAATGATTATGATTTTATATATGGTGCGTAGGACACAGGTCGTGGGGTGGCCACCCGTGCGGTCATACCGGAAGAATGCGATGACCCAAAAGAGCCCGGACGGTAGCCCGGCCATGTTTGTCAAAGTTTGCATGGACGGTGCACCCTATCTCCGAAAGGTGGACCTGAAGATGTACAAGAGCTACCAAGAGCTCTCCAGCGCTTTGGCCAAGATGTTCAGCTCCTTCACCATGGCTGGTTAGTCGTACAATCTCGCTAAGAATATGAATAAACGATTAAATTCGATAATTATTCAGTAGATAATTATTTTCAGTTTTATTATTTGAAAATATGTGTGATAAATTAGGTTAGATCTAGGAACAGAAAATCGTGATGCCAGAATATGTGGGATCATTTGGAATCATTATCAAAGGCACATTACAGCCTAGCTAGGCTTTATATTATTTCTTTATAATGATTATTATTATATGCTTAGGATAAAATAATTTAATTAACCAAGTGTTTGCTTTAATTATTATTATTATTTTGTGTGTGTTTTAATATGATAATGTTGAATAATAAAATGGTAAAGGTGAATATGGGGCCCAAGGAATGATAGACTTCATGAACGAGAGCAAGTTGATGGATCTTCTGAACAGTTCTGAGTATGTGCCAAGCTATGAAGATAAGGATGGTGATTGGATGCTGGTGGGAGATGTACCTTGGGAGTGAGTTCCTTTTTCCTTATTCCAACCAACTCCTTCCTTATCTCCACAACCAAACAACACCAATTCTTAATTACCTAATCTAATTACATATATATACTTTCCCATTTTTTTTTCTCTACTGCAGCATGTTTGTTGATTCTTGCAAGCGTTTAAGGATAATGAAGGGATCAGAAGCCATTGGACTCGGTACGTCAATTATTCTCGATGTTAAAATTTTTAACCGGGTCCATACACATATCGTATCACCACGACTGATATGATCTTTTCAAAGCATCTTTTGAAGAAAGTACGATTGCTTTTTAACCCGGGATTGAAAATTTGAAAATTTTTAATTTTTTTCAGCCCCAAGAGCAATGGAGAAATGCAAAAGCAGAAGCTGAAGAAATTGAAATTAAAAGTGGTTTTGGGGAGGTGGTGGGTGTGGCTTATCTCCATGATTTGGTCGACCCATAAGCAAGCAAGACAGATGGATCGAGCAAATATATGGATCTTGTTTGATTGCAATATCTGTACTTTTTTTTTTCTTCTCTTCTTTTTTAATGTTATATGATTCGTATATAGATATTAAAAAAGAGATTTGGGACATTAATTAATTTGTAATAGCCAACAACAAAAATAAACTCTCTCTCCTACCCTGTCTGGCTGGTTGTTTGTTTGCTTTTAAATGTTTGTTTATCAAGGAAAAGAAAAAAAAAAAAACTGTAATGGGCTTTGCTTTTATTATTATGCCTTCTCCTTTGTTAAATTTGCTAGCTAATTTATTATTTTTGTTGGTTGTTAAAGTTTGTTTTGATTCCCTTTATTTTTTAAAAGCTGTTGAGTTAAGTTAATTATGGCTAAAACAAGGTGCTCAATATTAATTAATTCCACTCTACTTTTATTTTATTGTATTAATTATTGCATATTGTAATGATTCTAGGGTGTGGAAGCCATTAGGGTTTATTTATTTATTTATTTTATATTATATAAATTTGAGGAGAGGAGGGAACATGAGCATGTGGGTGCTTATGAAGATGTTTAATATATTATGTGTTTATTATAAGGTAGTTGTTTTTGGCCTGCCCAAGACTAACCCAACAGCTGAGGGGTAAATGGGTAAATTATAACGCAAATACCCTATTTGACTATTGATCACTAATTAATATCAATGAATTAATTTTTTTTACAAAAACTTTTGATCTATTAATATATTATACATGAAAAGGATAACTCAGACATAACATCGTGTTAAAAAAATAAGATATAGTGCAAGCTGTAGTTCAATTGGTAAAAAAATCCTCAACTAAAAGGTTAGGATTTCGAATTCTCACTTTAAAAAAATATATATATTTTTTAATTTTATTATCAACGTTTCGTTTTTTATGAGAGTAATCGAAATCCGAATTTGAAGGGTAAATTCATTTCCACGTGCTCATAAAAAACTAATATATTAATTGATGGAAAAACAATCATATATAAAGTTAATATTTTCGAATTTTAAAAGTATGGTTGTTTTTGTCCTGCTCGAACACGATTGAGAGTTAAGTATTAATAATGAATCATCAAAGTTAGCATAGCTCAGCGATAATTGACATATATCTCCAACGAAGAAACGGTAAGTTTGATCCCACTCCACATATTAGTACTCAAAAAATAATAATAATAATAAATTTATATTAAATAATTAAAATTTCAGTAAGTATTAGATTAAACAATTCCAACCACATAAACTTTTAGAACAGAAATGGTAGCACAAACTTTTAGACTAACCCAACAGCAGAGGGGTAAATGGGTAAATTACAACACAAATACCCTATTTGACTATTGATCACTAATTAATATCAATAAATTAATATGTTTACAAAATTTTTTGATCTATTTATATGTTATACATGAAAAAGGAGAACTCAACATTGATGTTAAAAAATAAGAAAGAAATAGTGCAAGGTTTTTTTTATTATTATTATAATTAGTTCATTGGTTAAAAAATATATCCCCACCCAAAAAGATTGGGAGTTCGAATTCTCACTTCCATGTGGTTAAAAAATATATCCTCAACTGAAATCTAATATCTTCGATGATAAAAAAAATTATATATAAAATTAATATTTTTGGGCTTAAATTCATAGTATAATATCATTGATATAAGGAAAAGGTGGGATTGTTATCTTACCAGGTTTTTATTGACATTGATTATTGATGTGAATTCTTATAAATAATTGATAGTGGAAGCAAATAAAAATGTTTTAGATATACTTCTAATCAACTCTTTAGTGATTTACACATCAAAAATTGTTATTATTATATTCACTATAATTCTTAATTAGCATTATGAATTTATAGTGGGAAATTTTTGTTTTAGATATGTATTGGTTGGATTTTTTTTCAAAGTTATTAGTCGGATGTTGTAATCAAGATTATTGTAAAATCTAAATAAAATGAAAGAGAATAAAGCAAAATAAAAACATTTTCTAGATGCTTAATTGATCCCAAAGCAACCAGCAAATTAACGGAAATAGTATATATAAGACATGATTAATTAAATAGTAAAATTGGCTAGTGAAATAAAAAGAAAATGAATAAGTTAAAGTAGAAAAACTAATAATAAAGTAAAATGTTATAGCAAGTAGTAGTACCATTTAGATAATGTTATTTTTCATCAACCCGAGATACTCGATTTGACGTAGAATATATTTTCCATTTGTAATTTATCGACATATTGTAATAAGTACTTTATCCACCAAGCTATACTTTGGTAGAATGGTTTTTGCTCTATTATTTGGTGCATCTTGCTAGAGAGAAATATTCGCTTATTTTTAAAAATTTTCAGATCTCCATCTTGTGAGACGATACAATAACGAAGGTTTCATCGGGTCATCCTAATCGACCTTCTTTTGTAATTATGACATTCTTACACCCATCTCTCTGAACTAGAATGTTTTTATTTAGCCACCTTTTGATGTATGTTTCCTGCATACTTTTTAAATAAACAGTGTGTTATCTTTTCAAACAATAATACATAACAGCTCAAAATTTACATTAAAAGTAGATAGGACCGAACTTTTCTTTCACATCTTTCTCATTCTTCTGCACATACTCAATTAAGGGGAAAAAAAAAAACTTTTTTGACTGGAACATAATTCTAGACACTGATAATTCTTTTTATTATAAATCTAAAGTTTGAATGTCTAACTATAAATTTAATAATACTCAAGAAAAATCATCCTTTGAACCATTTAAATTGTAACAATGAGATTTTGACTCTTGAAATTTATGAAATATGTGGTCTTCTCTTAACCATATCTTTATCCAATGAATAGGGTATGGATGCTTCTGCTATTGTTTTCCCCATATATAAAAATCCAAAAATAAAGAGAAAAAAAAAAGGTCCATATGTTATTGCTTCCTTTCATTTCTTTGATTTCTTGGATCTGACGCCCTCCATGCATATAGTAAATAGTGTATAATATTATAAGTTCAATGAAAAATATTATTAAAGTATAGTTTATATAATTTCGACAAGAGGGGAAATTATTTTAATCATTTGATCAAATTTATGACATATGCACCGAGAATATGAAATGTACATATCACTCTAATTACATAACTCTTAGATATATGCTTAAAAATGCGAACTTTATTAAATATGATATAATGTAACGTCTAATATTATAAAGATCAATATTTTGTGTTATGGTTCTTACATATCTTAGTCTCCCTTGTCTTCTGCCAAAGAAATCGAATCATGTCGTGCATTAATTTTCTTTTTCTTTTTTTTTTCTTTTTCTTAAAATAAATGTTGGAAGTGGGAATCAAACTGAAAAAAAAAATTTRTCAAACCCATTTTTGTAGTAATTAATTTATTCTATAATTATATTTTTAAAAATTAAATTTGATGAGTGTGTTCAACGTATCTTTTTAGAATCATGAACAATTGTTTTAAGTAATTGAAATTATTTTTTAGAATTATCAAAATATTTGACTATATATATACCATGTATGTGAATTGTACCTTCATAGTCAACTATGTAGTTGTTCCTTTTATATAAAATGGTAGAATGTCAATTGGGAAAATCGACAAACTAAAATAAATTTTTTCAAAAATTTAATATATCCTAATGAGTATGTAGAGAGGTAAATATTAATGTTAGGGATATTTCTAAAAAACTCATAAAAATTAAGAAAATAATCATTTTAATGGATAAATACATTATAGTTCATCTTTATTTTGTAATGAGTATCACATCCCATTTAATTTTCAAAAAATATAAGTAATCAGAATTAGTGGAGTTATTCAAACAGATTTTATTATATCACTTTTTTGATCGGATTAAAAAACAATATTGTATCCTTTCGAAAATGAATAGTAATCCTGTAAGTATGATATTAAAAATTAAATTTGAGTTTACGATTTTTTTCTTTTTTATTCTCATTTTTATATAGTAAGCCAGATTTTAAGTTATCATGAGAATTTCATGTTTATTTATTAAAATATTAGTTAAATCTGATTTTGATATTGGTTGGAACTAATCTATTTGCCGGATGAAAAATGGCCTTCAAGCTTCAGGCCCAAAATGAAGTCGTCCAAGGCCCAATTGGGCCGTACATATTTGGAAAATTTAACGGAAATATCATATATATTACCAACATTTTTTTTCCTATATATTGTTAAAAACTTAAAGTCAGTCTCCCACTTTTCTCTAAAACTAATCTTTGAGACGTGACGCTTGTAATTTATTCTGTCATATAATTTATTCTATCATATGATTAATTTATCAGCTTATATTAAATAATTAAAATTTCGATAAGTATTTGATTAAAGAATTCCAACCACAAACTTTTACAACAAAAATAGTAACATAATTAACTATAAATTTTTTCGATTAATTATGTTATGGGAAGAAAAATATAGAACGGACAAAACAACAGAAGAGTCGTCGAAGACCGTCGACTCGGGCCAACCTGGACCGACCCATGGTCGACATCGAGGTGTTCCCGACCAAAAAGCCGAGAACCATAATTCTATTTCCATCGATCCTTGTGCAGTCCAATCCGAAATCTCGTCTGATCTCGACCCTTGATCCGACATTAGGTCAATAACGAAACACATGGGTCCAGAAGTTCATATCTCTTAAAGATACAAGATTCGACTTTTATAAACTGATTCAACTTCTATAAATAGGGGAGTATGTCAAACCTCTAAATTAAGCATTGGAGTTCGTGTGGTAAAAGTCAGTTTTAGTGTTATTGTGTTTTGCAGGTCTCGTCAATCTCTTTATTCTAAAAGATTGGTACGAATTTGACGGAATTTCAAGAGCCCAAAATTTATAACTCACTATTCATTTGCACATAGATCATTTCTCGTGAATATTAATAATTTAATAAAGAGGAAAAAAGACATTCATTTAAAAATGTTTAATTGAATGTTCCTAATTTTTGCAACCAGAGAAAGAGGCAGAAATAAATCACTTGAGGATATCACAACAGCACGAACAAAGCTCAATTGAAAATTTTCTTTTTTTCAAATATTAAAATTTAAAATTCTACGATGCCCAAAAAAAATTAATGTAAAAATAAAAATTCATAATTTCAGTGGACCAAAATAATATTTCTCTTTCTCTATGCTCCGGCTATCATTTATCCTCTTGATATTTATAATTGGGTTCACCGTAGTAACAATTTCAATAACATATTGAATTAAAAATATTTTAAATTCTCCTAATATTTTAAATGTAAAACAAAAGAAAAATATATCTTCTTTCGACCTAACAAATTCATTATATCCTTGAAATCAATTGTGGATAAATTTTTTGGTTGAAATTATATTTTATTGGACTTTCAAACTTTAGTATTAGTTGATAATGATAATTCAATATCTTAATTGATATTGAGAAATTTATTATTGACCAATTTTACATTTACATTAATGATAAAATATGATACATTTATTTCTTCAAATTGTACTTCGATCTTGAAACATTTTATTATATATCACTACTTGAATTTAAGTTCTCTACAAAACATTAATTTTAATCCATATATTTTTAACTTTGGTTCAATCCAGTTATTAGTATTTTTAAAATATTCATTTTAATTTTCTATATTTTTAAAAGTGACTAATTTAATCTTTATGTATATTCTATAAAGACTTTTAATATAAATTAATAGTTACATTTATAAATATTTGTAAAGTAGAAAGACTCTCGTTAAAGAGAAAATAAAAATTAAAGAAAGGAGTTGCACGTGGAGCGTGCATTGGAAGGGCGAGAAACAAACATCCGAAACAAAAGGCTAAATGTCGTTAGTCGTTACGCACGAGAAAATTACTCCCACCCTTAATTTCCCTTTCCCCTTTTTTTTTCTTTTATTAATTAATAACTCTCTTCGTCAAATCCAAACAATCTCCATTATTCTCCCCATCCAACAAACAAACAGCCCAATTCGCGTTTGCCGGCGGCGGTGGCGGTGGCGATGGGAAGTGATGTGGCGGTGAAAGTGAAGAGTGAGAAACTGAAGGCTTGTTTGACATGCCCTCTCTGCACTAACTTATTTGCCAATGCTACCACTGTATCAGAATGCCTTCACACCTGTAAATTTAATTCTCATCACTAATTCTCCTTAATTTTTTCCCATTTATATATTAGTGTTGTGTAAATGATTACGATGTTGGATATATGTGTGTATATATTTGGGTTTGATTGCAGTTTGCAGGGATTGTATATATGACAAGATTACAGCAGACGAGTTGGAGGGTTGTCCCGTCTGCAACACTAATTTAGGGGGTGTCCCTCTCGAGAAACTCAGGTTTTTATTTTTCAATTTTCTGATTATTGGATAATATTTAATACTTAGTTGGGAAGAAATTACAATAACCAAAAATAATGATTTTATCAAAAAAAAAAAAAAAGTCTTTTGAATTAGTTTTGCCATTTAGGTTTTTTTAGTACAACATGTGAGAACGAAGGTTCACTTACCACCTTTTTTTTATTGAAAATAGATATTTTTATTTCAAACTCATGTAGTCAAATTAGATAGCCATGTTAAACATATTAAAAATATGTTAAATTTATTTCAACGGTGTCACGTGAGCTTTTTGTCTATCTAAAATTTTATAGACTAATTGAAGTTTTAAACTTTTTTCAAAAGAAAAAAATTTGAATTTTTAAACAATTTAAGTTTATAGAGTAAATATAGATATTTAAAGTACAATAAATATCTTTATAAAAAAAACAATATCTTGGGTTATTTTTTTAATTTTTTATTTCTAATAGTAGCTTCTAAAATTTCAATTAAAATTTTAAAATAGCGACATATTTTTTAAATACTGCTATTTTAAGCTATGTTTGATTACAACTTCAAAACCATTTGACAATAACTAGCTCTTTAAAACGAGCTAGTTTACTTGTTGTTTTCTTCTTTCAGAAAGCTTTTTCCTTTTTTTTTTAGAAAGTATTATGACGTCAAAAAAATTGATATTTTGACTTTTTTTAATTGAATCTAATTTTAATAATATTTTTCAGACGTCAACTACAAAACAAAGTTTAATAAACAATCATAGTTTCTAAAAAATCATTATTGGTTAAATTTAACCTTAAATTTTACATTTCATCCTATTGGTATTTAGTTAAATTGCCGTTTATTAATTTTTTGTAAGTGTGAGATTTTCTTTTTACGACATTTTGGTATTAGGTGATCTGAAGGGGAAGAAAAAAAAAGTTGTTAAGATAATTCCTTCCAATGGTTTATAAGTTTTTACTGTTTGACAATCCTCAGGGCAGACCACACCATGGATGATCTGAGGGAAAAGATTTTCCCTTGCAAACGAAGAATGGAGAAGGCCCCTGAAACAGCAGAGCACCCAAATTCGCTGCCAGCCAAAAGAAAAGAGAGATCGTTCTCTTCTTTAGAGATCGTCGAAGCGAATACAGAAACTTCATCTCTCAGCAACACAAGAACACTGTCGAAATCTGCAGTACAAGAGAACCTCATCCCACAACAATGCCCTGCCACATTGTTTGCTCACAGAGAACTCATCTTTGTTCCAACTAAGCAGGACAATACCCGAGTAGTGGAAAGGGAAACTGATGTTTCAAATCAAAGAATTCAGGAAGAAGCAAGTGTAACAAGGTCAAATGATTCTAACATACAAGATACTGTTGCCAAGCCAATTCAGATTGATGATAACTGTTGTAATATTCAAGAACATGGTCACAAGCCAATGATGGATAGAGTTGAAAGTGGACTAATTTCTGGAACTTCAGGCTCTGTTGACCATGGAAAATCACAGGATGTTTCTGGGGGACTAAGATTAGCCAACATGAACCGACCCTATGATCAGGCTAGAGGCGACGCTGATGCAGATAGACAATGCAAAACGTTATCAAATGATTCAAATCCAATATGGTTTGCATTAGTTGCTTCTGATCACCAGTGAGATTCATTACTTTAGAATAAGATAAAGAATGGTTCTGTTCATTATTCTACTCGTGCAAATAACCGAACGTTGATCTAAACTTGTAATTGACTTTACCAGGGAAGGAAACGAGCCTTTGCCTCAGATCTCCTCAAGCTACTTGAGGGTCAAGTTAGTAAAATCTCCTACACTAATAGTAGCCCATTTGATAATACCTACCCCCCCATGTTTCTAGTTGATCATTGGATTTCTTGTTTTGGTTTTCCTTCTGATCTTCAAACACACAGAGATGGCAGTGTACCTGTGGCATTTATCAAGAAATATCTCATGAAGAAACTGGGTCTAGCTAGCGAGATCGAGGTAACCCAACATTATTTCCTCCTGTTTGAATGATCTAAAAAGATTCTACATATATATATGCAAAGTATGCAAGAGTGGAAAGTAAACATACATGTCACATGAACTGTTGCATAGAGTAATAACATTTCCATAAATATTTACAGGTGGAGATCTCATTGAAGGGTCAGCCAGTGAGTTCTACATTGCACCTGCATGACGTTGTAGAACTGTGGCGACAGACAACCACAAAAATAGAACGAATACAGATATCTGTGGGTAGCTCAGCCAAGGATTTTGTGATGGTTCTATCTTATGGTCGAAAGGCTCATCCCCCTGAACACTTCCCAAATATTTGTGCTCACTTAGATAACAGAGTTCAATAAGAGACCGAATAGGCACTTTTACGCATCCTCTCATAAGTTTCCCACATAAGCTACAATTTACAGAGTCAACTTCTTTCTTCTACATTAAAATGTGATGACAAGGTAAACAAATCCTAACAATGAAGCATGTATATATATAAGCTAGATTATCGACAATAAGAGTACAACTCACATTTGGGTCTCATGATCCTTCCTACTCACCCTAAATGATAAACATAATCATTAATAGGAAAAAAGTAATCAAGAGAACAATTTCATATGTTTGAAACCCAAACGAAAAGCAATGGATTGTTGGCTCAACAATCCAATTCAGCGGCTAAGGGAAAGACATAGAACAATGATAATATCCGTAATGACTAATCTCAATCACATAGACTAACGGTTAAGAGCAAATGGAAGGCGCCATTGGATCAAACTCTCGGCACCACAAGCTCCAACTAAGTAAAAAGAACTGTTAAAAACTCTGAGCATAATGGACATGAATATTTTTCTGCAATTCATTGTGTTTTGCAAATGTACATTTCATCTAACAATACCAGTATATAGACCAACAAACTATCAAGCTTCTACAAACTAAACCAATTGAAAAGAAAAACAGAACTTAAATTGTTAAACCGTGAGACAAACTCACGGATTCAATCAGATGCCGCTGTAATCACCTCTTGGGCTCTCCAACAGCGCATCCCCAAAAGGGTCTTGCAAATCTCCAAGAAGATCCTCAGTTCCCCTCAAAGCCGCATGCAAGGAAACCACCACAGCCCCAATTGCAAGCGAAATCAGCACATTCACAAAAACCCCTGTCAAAGCCAGCGCCAATCCGGTAGCCAACCCAAGAATGATGACCAATACCAAATCGTCCAACACAAAACCAAAAACCCTAAGTGGATCGTCGCGGGAGAAATAGAGGAAGAACCAGGCGACAAAGACTAGCAAGAAGACAATCATGGAAAAGGGATGGTAGATGAGGCCGAGAAAGATGAGGAGCAAGATGAGGAGGCAGTAATTGGAGAGAAAACGAGTCAAGTTCTGAGAAATCTTCGTCGTAGCGTCGGAGAGGGAAGAAGGAAGGCTGAGAGCCGTCGGGTCTAGGAATTCCCGCCATGGGCGGCGGGTGGCGATGACGGATCGACCAGCTTCCTTGAAACTGACGGCGAATTCAGCGGTAGACATCGGAAATTTTTGCCGGAGCTACGAAATACTGGTAATGAAGTCGAGAAAAAAACCTTCCTTTCTTGTGATTTATGAGTGATGATCCAGTAGAAGAAGAATTTTGAGGTTGAACGAAAAGGAAGAGAAAAATGGTTTGTACCAAATTAAATTTATAATATATAATTAAAATTTAAAGAAAAAAACAAAAAAGGGAGGGCAGTCGACGGTCACATTGGCCAAATTGAACATTCAAAGAAATAAAGATCTCTGTTACTTTAGGAATTATAAATTTAAATTTCGTACCAGATTTAGAAATGAATAACTTATTCAATATAATATAAAATTTTTAACACCAAAGATGAAAACACGACTAAGTGTAAGAATTACAACAAAATTAGAATGTGACCAACATAGATATGATAAGCGCATCAAGAAATCTTCGTCCGATTAGAATTTTAATCTAGATAGTAAAACTTATGTTCAATGAAATGTCGGTTTGATAAATATTTTATTTTTTAATTTATTTTTAAAATTAAGCTGTATTTTTTTTGCTTGGTTATACAATTTTTATAAACATTTTTAAAATCTAGGCTAAATTTTGAAAAAAGAATATTTTTAAACAACTTGTTTTTTTTTCTAAATTTAGTTAATAATTATACGTTTCCAAGAGGATAAATTATATAAAAATAAACCTAATTTTTAAAAACATAAAACAAAACAGGAAAGGATTATTAAACAAGGTTTTAGTATTTACATATACAAAATTTATCCTTTTAGGAAATGACTCTTTACTTCAAATAAAACATTGTTATTAAGGTACAATACAACCATATAAACTTAACATGTTTAGTCTATCTTAATTATATAGTAGGTGATGTGTTTCAAAAACAAAAAACAATTTTTTCTACCGATACAAGAATTGCTACTAATTTAGAGAGTCGTTGAAGTATGTTTGATGATGATTTTGATTTTGCTATTTCTTAAGTTACTTCTATCATATCATTTCTCAAATATTATTGTTCTAAAATTTAAGCAATTTTGGCAATGACAAAATTAATTTTAATCCTACCAAAATCCCCCTCAAACATGTCATTATTATAGTTTCATAAGTGATTTTTATAACTAACAGTCTATTTAAAGGGAAAAAAATCTACTATGTTTGGTGGGAATAAATAAGACACTCCATATGTATGAAATATGAAAAGAGGATACTAAGCCTCTAGAAGCGGGAGGTTTGGGTATTGGGAACTTGAGGTTTAGGAATGAGACTTTCTTAACTAAATGGTTGTGGTGTTTCATTCATGAATCTAGTGCCTTGTGGCGAAGAATTATCGTGAGCAAGTATGGGCGGCATTCGTTTGATTGAGTTCTGACAGGTGGGTGGTGAGTAATTGTAATCCTTGGAAGGCTATTGCTTTGTGTCTCCTCACTTTCTCTCAATCTTTACGTTCTGTTGTGGGGGACGGTTGGAAGGATACTTGGGTAGGAGATAAACCTCGCTGCATTGCTATCTTTCTGAAAAAAGGCTTCTTTACGTGGCTGAGATTATGAATTTTGAGAAATTTTAGAAGATCTCTTTGGAAGATTAAAATTTCGAAGAAGATCAAGTTTTTTGGGTGGCAAATCTTACTTGGGAAAGTCAATACCTTGGATCGTATCCAGATCTCTAGGCCCACAGTGGTGTGTTCTCTATAAGACTGTCTCAGGAGACCTCGATCATTTGGTGTGGACTTGTCAGTGCCGCAGGGTTTATGGTTTCGTTTCTTTATGTTTTTTGGGATGTCCTGGGTCCGTGCTAGGGATTGTATGGCAATGATGGAAGAGGTGTTGTTATACCTCATTTTTGTGACAAGGTCGTTTTTTGTGGCAGGCTTGTTTTCTGACTACTTTAAGGGATACTTGATTGGAGAGGAATCATAGACGATTTAGGGAGTGGAGAAGTCTGTGGACTATGTATGAGATCTTATTAGATTTAATAATTCGTTATAAGACTCGGTTTCTAAGACCTTTTATAATTACCCGCTAGGTCTCATTCTTTTGGATTTGAGTCATTTTCTTTAGAGGACTTCCTCTTTTAGGGTGTCTTTTCATTTTTCTCAACGAAAGTGTTGTTTCGTATTTGAGTCATTTTCTTTAGAGGACTTCCTCTTTTAGGGTGTCTTTTCATTTTTCTCAACGAAAGTGTTGTTTCGTATCATGATTGGAAATATGGGATCATCTTCAACCTTCAGAACTTAAAATAGGAACCTCCCTCCCCCTCTCTCATTTTTGTTTTTTCTCAGCCAATTGACCTCTGAAGTACAAAATTGAAAACATTGATTCTGTTTAGACCTTATAAATCAAAAATCCTAACCTTGGATTAGGATATTCAACAACACAACACAAGAATATTGAATTCTCATTGCCCAGAAAACAGCAAACAGAAAGATACAAAATGAAGAAATCAGTAAGGCATGTAAGATTTTATATTACAATGGAACATTTCCATGTTTTTGTTTCTAGATTTACAAGTCAAACTCATCCGATTCGGACGAAGAAATCGGACCGAGTGAGTTGTTACCTTCTAAGCTAGCAAGCATCACAAACTCCTTTTTGATGCATCCTCTCTTCTCTATCCATCTCACACCAAGCACACTGAAACGTACAACCACGTCGTTTTCTATTGTCGCACATTCGTCACTCGAGAAAAGTGGATTTTTGCCACCGACGTAACGGTAGGTTGGCATTTTACGAGCTGAGAGAAACACATACTTGATAGGTCCACATCTTAAGAGTAATCCACGCCTAAATATGTGACGAACAACTCCGTGCAAGATCTCCCCCTCGAAAGGCAAAAAGGTTCGGCAACTAAACGTCACCGGGAATGAAATGCATTGAGATTGAGACTCATTCTTAACCTCTCCCTTGCCTATGCTTTTCAAGTTAGTAACAGCAAGAAAATAGCCATGATCTCTGCTGGCCTTCTCCTTCAATAGGTTTTCTAATAGACATGTTATAATGTACCTGTGAAAGTTGTTGAAACCATCTCTCTTTTCATTTTCAGCCATGACTTCCACATCTCTTGCTAGTTCCACTTCACAAAACATATTCAAGATCTGCCAAAATTCAAGAAAAATAACAAAATTTATCAATAACAGCTCTTAATCTACTCCTTAAAAGAAAGGGTAAATGCATCAGTGCTGGGGAAACTAATCATAAATGAAACAAACAACTGTTAGGAACTGATGTGCAAGAAACATTCAAGCTTCATCTGATAAATATGCAACCATTAAATGTAGAGAAATTCACCCACTAAGAGAAAAATGCTTCAAACTATGACATTTTTGCCCAAATCTCCAACCATACTTGATATGTTGTGAAAACCAGACTCTGGTCTTCGGCCACTTGAAGCATAAACATAAACATAAACCAGAAAGGAAACTTTGCTTCATGTTGGCCTCTAACATTAGCACTATGAAAAGAACGTAAAATAAAAGATCAGAAATATCCATGAACTAGCAAACAAGAAAGTTCCTCAAGTGTTTGAGGATCCACAACAGACAAGCTGTTTACGGAGGATTGCATCTGCTGCACTAAATATAGTTGCAATAGGGAGAGTACATTAGCACCTAGAAGGATTCCAAATCAGGCAATTGGCACCTCAGAAAATGAAAACTCTTAAGCAAAGTTAGCAGAGTGTTAAAGAATGTCGAGTGAGCGAAGGATTCACCCGATTATGCTTGGCGATTTATGTATTCATGGCTGCAAACCGAAATTTGAATCTCTGTTCACGAATCGACCACGCCAAAACTTAAATTGGACAACGCAGGACAAACTAGAAGTATCGATTATCGCCACTCAATCACAATCCCCAAATAATTTCAACGATCTCAACAACCCAACAAAGAATCGAATCAATAATCAAATTGCATGCGCGAAATCGCAGAGCCTGCCCCGAATGGCAGATGTACAAAACGCATTGAAATTCAATTGTCCTACAATACCCAGATCCCCAATTCAAAATTCGAGTACAAACCCAAATCCCCGAAAAGAAAAATTATGATGCGAACCAAAATCTTCAACACACGGATTGCAGAGGGGTGGAAGAAGATGAGGATTTAAGTTACCTGTTTAGAAAATTTGAGAGAGGCGGGGGAACGGGGAGGCACCGATGACCGATCAGAAAAGTGAAGAACTAGAAAAATGGATTTGGGCGCGCATTACGAACAAATCACATATTTGGATTGGGTGTGGGTGTAGAGCATCGCAGACCCAGTGGATGAGTAAAGGCTGTTGCTTTTGCCATTTTTTATATAAACAAAATCTGGATCTCGGAAATGGAAGGGAAGCTGCTATTTGAGAAATTGGGATTTTTGACCCATTCCAATAACTATTTTTAGACTTTTGACCCTCTTTTTGACCCCTCCACCTCAGATTTCTGACCCCTCCCCTTATTTTGCTTGGTAAAATTACCAAGTTACCCTCCATTTAAAAAAAGAAATCAAACCCAGCCCTCCCCTCCTTTCCCTCCCTGTCTCGGTCCTTCCCCTCCCTCATTCACTATCTCGTTGTCCATCCCAGTCTTCATCCCGGTCTCTCCCTCACAACCAGAAAGTTCATCTTCGTCGTTTCTCCTTTGTCTCCCTCACTTCGTCTCTATCAGAGCTTTCCCCCTTCCCTAATTGAAGTAATTTTTCATCTCGGCTTTAAGCCCGGCGGATTTAAGACCGGGATGAAACCCTGAAAGTCCATTCCAGAAGGATGGACTTTCTGGATTCCATCTAGGGCCTCATCCTGGTTCGAAATAGACCGGGATGAAGACCGAGATGGTATCCAGAAAGACCATCCTTCTGGAATCTATCTTAGGACTCATCCCGGTTCGAAATGGACCGGGACGAGGCCCGAGATAGAATCCAGAAAGTCTTTCTCGATCTCGATGTTTCTCTACCTATTTCACACCCTATAATTGCAAATCAATGGAGCTT